ACCAGGATACTGTACTCTCAGTCAGGTGATTATACAATAGGGCATACAGCTATATGAAAGAATGTCAATAATGTTTTTTTAAAAGATGTCCTTAGATATGTGGCTGACTGTAACTGAGTAAATTTTGTAATCCTATCTAATAGCATTATTTATTATTCATTGAATATCAATATTATATTAATTGATATATTTTAAAATGGCAGGATTCACTGAATCAAATACAAGCTTAAACCTTCTTAGTTATAAATATGATACCACTTAACTGAAAGTAAAATGAGCTGATGATAAAAGTGAAAAATTGGGTTTAATATTAAAGAAAATTAAAATGAACCAGCAGGTCTGAACTTAACTGTTGATAGTGAAGAAATGAAGGTGGTAAATAGTTTACTTTCTTGGATGCAAAAATAAAGACATATGAAAAACTGGAGAAATTAAAAGGAGATCAAGTCCAAGAAAGAAGGCAATGTACACCTAGAAAAGATCACGAAGGATAAGAACATTTCAATAAAATCCAAAATAATAATTAAAATGATAGTGGTAATGTATATTTCTATATACTGGACACTGAAAGAGAGAGAGAGAAATGCCTTTGAGTTAAGGATTTGGAAATGATTTTTAAGATTACAATGGACCAAATAAAGACTGGCTATTCCCTTGAGGTGATAATTGACAAGCAAAAATACACAAATTTCAGACGTGCTGTGAGCAGATACAGTCTTGTGAAAAATGATTTTTTCAATGTTTTTTAACATATAGATATGAGTTTTATTTCAACAATATTGATGTAACATAACAGATGTTATGCACTCCTTACATTTCGTAGTGCATTGTGTGATTGAAATAAATATAAATGTACATTTCACATTTTGAAAAAGTGAGCACATTCGTAGATTTACCACTATCTCAAATACCTAAAATTATAAATGCACCAGGTCAGGTACAAATGATTAGAACATTATTAGAGAGGATCTTGGATGAATCTGCCTTATTGAAACTTCAGATATTTAGTTTGATTTGCTCTTTGTTCTTGAAGTGTGTGGTATCATTGTGTCTAGATTAAAAGAGCTTTCATAACCTTCCAACAGATTATAGGCACCTATGAGTCTGGGAAAGGGATTTAAAAAGATTGCCAAACAATTGTACAATTCCACTGTCAAGAAGATGATTAAGAGGTGGAAAAGATTTCAAACAAGTGCCAAATTGCCCAGGGCAGGCCATCCCAGCAAGTTCACAAGATGCTGAAGTAAATCCCTAAGAACCCCCAAATTTTACCATGTTAACCTAGAGGTAGCTCTCACTACTATTGGTGTCAAAAGTTCATGAGACTTCCATTAGAAAGAAGCTACTACACATAGAAATGGCCCAAGGCACACATTCTGGGAGAAAGAAGTTCCCTGATGATTGACTCCAGCACGAGTCCAAAAGCTGGGAAGACTAAACCTCCAATCCCTGTGACCAACCCAGATTGGATCAACCTGATAATACCTAACTGTTCTAGAAAGATGAAAGTGCTGTCTTGATCTTGCTAGATGAGGCAGTCATAGCTTGACTTTAAACTTGAATGTTATTCCAAACTCATTTTCATGCCAGAGTTTCATGAGACTAATTTCTCTTTCTCCTAATAAAGAGTATTTGTTCTCTAATATATTCAGTTTAGCATTTACGAAAGTGCTGACAAAAATCCATTATAGTTTAATAAATAATATACATGAATAATGACCGTAATGTTCAAGTTTTATTTGGTTTTAGATTAATTTGCATTTGATTTTTTTCTTTGAATAAGATTTTAATAAGCATTTATAACTGCAGTTATTTGTACATTTAGCTGGAGAAAAAGCTGCAATGGATCTTAAAGAATTAATGAATATTTTAATCTATTTACTATTTTAAAAATAATAATAAAGCCCCAGCTGGGAATAAATATGCTTTTGATTGCCCTGTTGCTCTTGTCTCATTTTAATATTATGAATAGCTAAAGGTGGGGACATAATTACTGATTATTACTGCAGAGAAATAGTTCTGCTTTTATTCTACTTATAGACATCGTTATTAACAGATACCTAGTATTTTGTGGGTTTTTTATTGTTTTTTTATGCTTTCCTCTTCAGTTACACTAAGTTTTAATAATTTTTAAGAACCAAAATATTTTTAGGAGAAGAGGAGAAAGAAGAATATGTTGTAGACATAAACAAGAATTTTTATGGTTTCCAACTATTAGCATACTGTAAAATTATTTGGCTTATTCATTATGAAATATCACTTGTGGGCTATACAATGGCATAGATATACTAGCAATAAATGAACTGATGACTCTATTGAAGTTATATAATGAATGGAGGTTTTATAAGTGGGATGGCTATTGTACTGCACTGCCCTCTTAATTGCAGTATACAGTTAGCAATTGAAACTAGCATGCACTGTGCTTTTTGCATATTGTATGATGCATTAATTCATGATGGTATACATTTTAATGGCTTTGACACAATAGTTGCCTGGAAAGTAGAAAGTGAATTTCCTCTAGTGTTATAATTTGAACTTGTGTATGCAACAGACTCTTCACACCTAATGCCATTGGTTTCAGCTGGATGTTGAAGTCAAAATCTGATCTCTGGGTAGTCAAAAGGAACCCTCAAATAAGTATCAAGAGAGGAACAGGCGGTAAAGCAAGTGAAAAACCAGCCTGGCAACAGATCTCAGCAGGCATAAATATATTGGTGAGGGGTCCTTGGTGCTCGCTGAGCTTGCTTGTTTTCTTGCAGACGTTTCATTACCCTAACTAGGTAATATCACCAAGGTCCTCTCATTTCAACCCTGAGCTACAAATATTCACCTTCATTGGTATATATTGGTGATTACTGGAGTTCATAGATAATTACTTATTTTAAAAAATACATAATCGGCCTTGTTCATGTTTCAGCATATTATGCATAGAGGAAACTAGAAAGCTTGTCACCTGCTGATGAGCTAAATGCTTAAAACAAATGACTGCCTATCCAAGCTTTGCATCAGGTCAGACTTCAACATATGTCTGGTACTAATTCATAAAATAATTTGGTAGGAACCGCTTTCAGGAAGTGGGACAAATTATAATGGGGAAAATGTATGCTAAACAGTTACAGAGTTAATACTGCTGAACAATGGCCTAGGTCAGGGGTGTCAAACCGCCGACCCACGGGCCAGATGCATCATAGTGAAACCACAGCCACCCCATTGCCGGCAATGGCAAAAAAGTCATGATACGTCGCAACACGTCACGTGATGTTGCGAGTTTGACACCTCTGGCCTAGGTGGAATAGTGCTCATTTCCATTTATCTTTTGAGCAAAGTGTTCTGAAGAAATACAATACTTTTTCCTTGACCCCATTTAGAAGACATGTAGTTGCTGAGTACACCATGTTGTTTCTGGTTGGGGAGGTTTTTTAAAATGTAGAATGTATTATTTTTGCCAAGAAAGAGGGCTGTCAATTGTTGTAGTACTTGTATTTTTCTAGCGGTGACCTTGGCTGATCTCAAAATTTGAGTAGAGTCAGATCCGTTTAATACTCGAATGGGAGACTATCAAATAGGCTATAAGGACAATTAATAGGCTAGATTGGAAGCCAAAACTCAGAAGAAAGAGTTGACAATTTATTTACTTTTTATTTAAATTGTGTATTTATTTATCTGAGCATGCATGGAGTTAATCCAGTAGTACAACATAGGTGAGATATAGGTGGTTTGCAAATGTATTGTTATCCAAGACATACAGAGACATGAAATCACCAAGCATTAAACTTGACTGAAGAATACTTTATGTATTAACAGAGTTGTGCATGCGTGTATGTATACAGAGATATGCATGTGTATATGTGTGCATATGTATATAACTGTATGCACATATATGCTGTCCTCACAAATAGACTACGGAAGATTATTCCTAATGTCAGCTGAATGTACTCAATTTTTTGATTTCTTATATTCCTTTTTTCTTCCTGTCTTTGAATTAATGCCTTCTGTCCTTGGCCTGATTACTTTGAAAATGAAATATGTTTAGATTGAGTTATTTCAGTTCCTTTTTGAAAAACATGTTGATGTGTTTTGGGATTTCTTTATCTTTCTTGATGTCTGATCATAAAAGCTTCTTGGCATACCAATAATTTTGTCCCCAAATTATAAAGAAAAAGTATTGCATCATCGCCTTTTATAAATCATATGGTAATTTGGCAAGATTAGAATCATATCCTGTTTTGGAAACTGCAAATAAATGCTGGTTTTCAGCAAATCAGTTGTAAAATGATTTGGAAGTTGGCATCATGGAAGTCTGCCAACGCTTGTAAATGTGGCCCAGTTGCCAAGCACCCAAAGTGAAGTCATATGACTATGGGGGGGGGGGAAGGAAACAACTGTCAGAATTTCAAATCCAGGTTGTAAGTACCCCCCCAGATAGAGCTTTGGAACTTCAAACCAGTTTGAAGTTGAGGACTACCTATAATACATCAAAGAGGGTTACTGTATGCTTTGATAAAATGAAATTTCAGTGTGATCACACTGCACCTATCATAATTTTTATATACTGCAAGTGAAATAATAGGTGCAAATTGTAGTCCAATGAAACAGGTATTCTGCTCTAGGTTGTAGAAATCTGCTGCTAGGATTCATATTATAGGGCAGTGTAAAAGTACCATATATATCCTTCACTTCTGCCTGGAAGTTTGTCATAGTGAGAGCCTTATATTTAATATAACAATGTGAAATAATTATAGAAAACAATGTTACAGATTTTAAAATACTAGATAGGGTACCATATTTTTGCCTGTAAGATTTAATTCCACTGTGCATCGATTAGATTCTTTTTTTCAAGCAGTATTTTGGGTCCATTTCATTTCAGCATCCATGGGTTCTAAAAAAGTAACTTTCAACAAGAAATGACTAAAATATCAAGCATTTTTTTAAAAAAGTAATGTGATACAATGATGTGAATTGCAATAGTTTATATCTTTATTTCATTTTCTTCCTTGTAGTGGGAGTGAATTTGTTTTACTTCTGTTTAATCATCTATTTATATGGTGATCTGGCAATCTATGCAGCTGCTGTCCCAGTTTCTCTCATGCAAGTGACTTGGTAGGTATGCATTTGGTAACAATATTGTGAATGTGATCATTTCTAAAAAAAATTAAAGGATTATGTAGTTATTTCATATTGATGGTTTTGACTTTGTATTAATGTCTTTGTTTCAATTTCTATCCAAGTTTTCAAGTCAATTTCAGACTATACAAAACTTTAAAAGAGTGAGAATTTACTTAAAAACCATTGTTAGAAATAATCATGAATCCAGTTTACAAGGATAATCAGCAGGAAAGGAGAAGGACTCTGTTTCAATGGCAATGGATATACCATTGGGAGATTTGAAGGTTGGGGACAGATCATCTTGGAGAGGATCTATCCACATGGGTGCTAAGAATTGACAGCTGAGCTGATAAAACATAAATCAAATTGATGGCGCATTTTAGTGTCTGGATATATTTGTTTATAGATCAGATCGTTATTCAGATAGGCCCCAATCTATTTAGGAATTTGAAAATAAAAACCACTACTTGAATTCCTGAAAAACATTTGGCAGTGTATGCCAATATTCAAGGCAAGCTAAATGTACCAGTTAGTAATCCAACTGTGACATGAATTATATCTTCTGAATGCTGTGTAGGACAGTCCACATAGAACATATTACATTGATAAGAAGTAACTGCAGAGTGGAGAACAACTAGCTAAGGAATAGTTGCAGTTGTCATACTAACTACATCATCTGTTGCTTAAAAAGCTATTATTACTTGGTCTGCCACTGTTTCCTGGACATGTTTGTATGACAGAGTGTATATTTATGAATAAGGGTCTTTTCACATATTCAGATGAATATTAATAATCTGCTTTGCTTCTTTTTGTCAGTACTATGACTGGCAATCATTCATGCAGCGTGGAGGATGGGACAAAGTATAATGACACAGACAAGTGCTGGGGGCCAATCAGGAGGATTGATGCTTACAGGATTTATCTGGTAGGTGTCACTAACCAAAGGCGCACAGTATGAATTTTGCTTTGTTCTTAAACAAAACAACATTGTGAAAGAATGATTGATTTCCATTTTAAGGGTATAATCTGCTGCTGTTTTCAGCCTCTTTCTCTTCTTTTTTATTTTTTCTCCTGGAAGTTTGTTAACTTTATACTTTTCAGTAGGTCAGCCTTGTACTGAATAGTGGCAGTCCCTTGAGATACACATAGGTGGTGGAAAATTAATGATAGTTTTCAATGGAAATTACCCCAGCCACAACTCATATTTATCAGGTTGTCTTCACACTGCACTTCAGGCATAGTATCATAGTTTTTTAGCTTTGGCTAACTGTAATGCTTCCTTCCTAATTCCCCTCTTTTCCTGAATAAGGCAATAACGCAAATAGCTCTTCTTCTCCAGGCCAGAAATATTTACAATACTAATGAAGTGATGAAAGCTTGAAAAGGGTTGTCAGACTACCTTGGAAAAGCAACTTAATACTGGAAAAGCAACTTAATTGCATTAATATTGCTACCTGGATACAATAAATATTAGATGCTTCATATACTTCAGCAGTTAAAGTAGGACTGCTCATTGTATGTTGGCATTTTATAAATGAGTGTGATTTTTAACAAATATATTCACTGGTCCTGCTTTACCAATATTTCAATATATATTAAAAGATTTTACTAAAACAAGTATGTGTACATTTTCGGCTTGGGATCCACTTCATTTTATTTCAAATTTGAGATGCACCAATTGAAGCTGTATGTGAAAAATACACTGTGTACTTAAAAAAAAAAAAACCTGAGCCCAAGAATTTGTTTTATTATCTGAACTAAATTCATTCTTTCTATGGAGAAATCAACTATCTATCTTGATTTTAGAAGTATCATTTGAGATGTTAATAGAGATACTTTTTCCCATTGTAGTTAATCAAGTAACCGACTGAGGAGTTTGCTTGTCTATTGCAGTTTATCTAGAGCTCACCCTCTTCATATTTCTATTGTAATGTTTGTCATGAATTTACTTTGACATTTGGCTGTTAGTTAGTAACAATCAAGTGTTAAACATGATAATTAGGGGAAAGAGTAATAAAAATCAGTATATCTGATTTTATTGCTAAAATTATGGCCGTTGCAAATGGTAAGTAAACCATACAGATGGGAAAGAAGAAACAAACCTGAAGCAATAAATACAGTTTTCCTTGAGGGTACTCTTTGCATCTTAACTTTGTTCCTGCACTCCTGACTAGATTATTACTATGAACAGCACACTTCTGGAGGATGGGTGACACACAGTAATAATGCTGAAACAGGAAGCAAGCCTTGGTAATATTAAGAAATGCCATAGCCTGGTTAATTATTTAAAGGAAGTATTGTTTTATTAAATTGTGTCTAGGGCGGTTTCTCCAGAATTTTTATACCTCTGAAGGTTTTCTTACTGAATTTCAGTAACTGTTTGAGCCAACAGAAGGAGAGGCGTGCAGGCATTAATTATGGCCTGTATCTCTGAGATATTGCACCTATAATTCATAAAGTAATATCTTATACCAGAGATGGAAGAAAATGTGTCTTTATGGAAAGAGTAGGTTAGGAATTCTATAAAAGCAATAATAATCTAGAACAGTGGTTCTCAACCTGTGAGTTGCGACCCCATTTGGGGTTGAACGACCATTTCACAGGGGTCACCAAACAACGCAGTCCGCCATTTTTTTCCCCCTTTTCCTTAGCTGTGCTACTCCCTTTTATTCTATTGGCTTTTGAAAGCCAATAGAATAGACTCTCTTGAATAGAGTCTAATTCTATTGGCTTTCAAAAGCCAATAGGAATTGTCCAGGCTGTCTCTGCCCTGCTGAGCCCGCCAAAAGTCCCATTTTGCAAACGGTGCTGCAAGTTGTCTGCAGCGAAGGCGAGCTGTCTGGAAGCTTCCACCCCTCCCTGCTGAGCAACTACTAAAAATGTAAGTAAAAGAGGGCCAGGGGTGGGAGGTAGGAGGCCGGCGGGTTCAAGGAGGGTTGCTGGCATGCGTGGGGCTCAGCGGGTGCCTTACCTCCCTTGGGCTGAGTCAGCTGGTGGCCCAGCCAGTGGTCGCCCTGCGCCATCGCTGCCCCTTACCAGCTATGCCACGGCCGGCGCAGGGGGTGGCACCACGCATGTGCGGTGCTCCCGGGCAGGGAAAGTCCTCAACTTACGACCGGTTGGGTAGTCCTCGACTTACGATTGGTTGGGTAGTCCTCGACTGACGACCGGTTGGGGGTCGCGGCATTAAAAAGGTTGAGAACCACTGATCTATAATAATACAATTTGGCAACAACAACAACAACCAAAGAATACCTAATCAAGAAATACCACTTAGAAACGAGGAAACCCTACACCATTTCAGACAAATGGCTGTCCAGGTTTACCCAGGGCAAAGAAATCAAAGCCTTGTCAGAAGTAATTCAGAATGTAGAGGCAAACCAGGGAGTTGGCAGTGAAGGAATCCAGCAGAGATATACAGCTGTTCTCATTTGGAAACCAGGCACCTTTTCCTCAGAAAGAACAAAAGCCTCTAACTAAAGAAACAAAGAATAACTGAGCATCTAGAACAGCACAAAAACAACAGAATAAGGCTGCCTGCATTGAAGCTTGTTCCAAAGAAACAGCTAGCACAAGCATTAAAAGATGTAAATACTGCAATATCAAATATAAGCACCAATTCACTGCAAGAAGCAAACCAACTAGTCTACAGCACAGCTGCAGTTATAACTGAATACCTGGGATGCAAAATCAACAAAGAAGAAAAACAAACAAACAGTGCACCACAAAAATGGAAGGTTAGACTAGAAAATAAGATCAGCAAGTTAAGATCACATGCAAGCAAGCTAGAACAGATGAAAGAAAAGAAGCTAAAGAACAAGAAGACCAAAGAATACCTAATCAAGAAATACCACTTAGAAATAAGGAAGACCAAGGAAGCATTGGAAATAATAAAGCAGCAAATAACAGCTATAGCCAAGAAAATCAGTAGATACTAAGCTCGAATTGCAAATTATAGACAGAACCTCCAATTTCAATCCAATCAGAAACGCTTCTACCAATCCATCAATGGAGAAACTGCAATGAATCAGTTAGTACCTGACAAGGAAGAAACAGTGCAGTTCTGGAAGCAGATTTGGGATAACCCAAAGAAATACAACAAGGATGCGACTTGGTTTAAATAGATAGATGCAAATAAAACAGAAGTTGAAGTGAAAGAACTAGTAATAACAACAAAAATGGTAGAAAAAAGAGCAAGGAAGATCAAAAATTGGTCAAAAATTGGTGAAGATAAATTGCATGGGTTTTGGTTGAAACATCTAACTGTTATATACCCACTCATTGCCAAGCAGTTCAACAATATACTATAAGGAGGAGAAATTGAAAAGTGGCTAACAACTGGGAAAACCTACCTAATAATGAAAAGTCCAGCAAAAGGGGCAACACCAGGCAACTACAGGCCAATTACCTACTTACCAACAACTTTCAAATTGCTAACTGGTGTGGTAGCTGATGCAGTACAACAGCATCTAGTTGAAAACAATCTCTTTCCACCTGAGCAGAAAGGAAACCACCTCAATAGCAGAGGAACAAAAGATCAACTCCTAATAGACAAAATGATCTTGGAAAACTGCAAAAAAAGGAAGACCAACCTGAATGTGGCATAGATTGACTACAACAAAACATTTGACTCTCTGCCACATGATTGGATAATAAAGTGCCTAGAAATAACAGGAGTCACTAGAAACATCAGAAAATTTGTGCAAAGATCAATGGCACAATGGAAGACACAGTTGCAGGTCAATGGTGAGAGAATGGGAGAGATTAATATCAAGATTAATATTTCAAGGAGATTCATTATCACCATTACTATTTGTTATTGCATTGTTTCCTCTGTCAACAATACTGAATAACTCAGGACGTGGCTATCAAACATCAAAAACATCTGCCAGACTATCCCACCTCCTTTACATGGATGATCTGAAGCTGTATAGAAAAACATCATCTGAAATAGAATCGCTGCTCAACACTGTCCGTATATATAGCCAAGATATTGCAATGGAGTTTGGCTTGGACAAATGTGCCACATTTACTATCAGACAAGGAAAAATAGTGAAAAATGAAGGAATCAAGATGCCCCATGAAAATAAGAATCTGTATGAGGAAGATTACTACAAATACTTAGATATCCTTCAAGCTGACAACATCAAGCCCACTAAAGTCAAGAAAAAGATTAGAGGTGAATACATCAACAGAGTGAAGAAGATCTTAAAGTCCAAACTCAATGGAGGAAATACTGTGAAGGCAATCAACACCTGGGCAATTCCAGTCATTAGATACACAGCTGGAATAGTGGACTGGACTCAAGCAGAACTAAAAGCAATGGATAGGAAGACCAGAAAAATAATGACAATGAATCATGCCCTTCATCCATGCAGTGACATTGACAGACTCTCTGGGACTTCAGAATTCAAACAGACAAGCACCTGCAACATAACACCCCGGATTTAACAATTGTCAATAAGAAAGACAAAAAAGTCTGGATAGTGGATGTGGTAGTGCCTGGAGACAGCAGAATAGGCAAGAAAGAACTGGAGAAGATAACAAAATACAACGACCTACAAATAGAAATTGAAAGACTGTGGCAAAAGCAAGCAAGAGTAGTACCAATAGTAATAGCCACCTTGGGTGCAATTCCAAAACAACTGGAGCATCACTTGAACACCATTGGCATTGACAAATTCGCCATTAGTCAATTGCAAAAGGTGGCCTTACCAGGAACTGCTTCTATCTTGCGACGATATCTGTAATACCATCAAACATCCATATCTGCCTATCCCAGGTCCTTGGTAAAGGACTCGATAGGTAGACAAAAATGCCAAATCCAGTTTGAACATCTGGCTGACTGTGCAATGATCAATAATAATAAAGTTAGAAGGGAACTTGGAGGTCATCTAGTCCAAAACCCTGCTAGGGCAGGAAACC